TTATATGCACTTAATACTTAGATATTACACTCAAGTTTTCCGAAATATTACACTTAGCAAAATTGCTATTGCACCGCCGTTTATTTATTTCCAACCTGACCTTCTATAATTTATAAATATCTTGGCACTTAAATAATAGCTGAATAAAATATTTTATTATAAACATTTCTTTACTTGATTAGAAAATTAAAAAAATCCTCTGGTAAAAGGCATACATATTCTGTCACTTCTTGGAATTCCTCGTCGTAGTCTTGAAAAAAAAATAGAGTAGAGACCTTCTAACATAATCCTTTAACGCAAATCCCAAGCTAAGTGTCACTATTAGCCATTGGGAGAAGCCATCCAATCACGTAACTCCAATATTGTTTTAATATACTTATCTAGCATAAATGTATTGTGCTTAATTTACAGATTGTATATTTCATATAAAAATGTATATATATTATATATTATAAAAACGAATTTACCGTTGAATGAGACTTATACGTATAATATAAATTTAGAATTTATTGAACTAAATCATAAATATTATAAAAGTGTTTATAACTTCATTTTTCGACCTAGACAAGTTGTTATAGAATGGCATACGAAAATCGAACATTTTTTTTTTTATTTGTATTAAATGGGAACACTATTGGTTACATACATAAATAAAAGAATCTTATATAATATATTATTTATAAATTAAATTAATGGATGTTTGTTTCTTATAAAAACTAGTTTTGGTACCCAACACTCATTGGTGTCGCCACAACTATCAATCATATAAAAATATTTTTGAATATCTAACATATTATTCAATATAAATGAGATAAAGGTAACGTGAACGAACACACTGTTAATTAAATTTAATCAGAGACTGACAAATAGCCTGTGTATGCATTATGCGTGTATTACATAATTTTTTTTTTTATTATTATTATTATTTATTTATATGAATATATACATAATATTGTAAAAAATATTTTTATCAGTGTGATCATGATTTAAGGTAGCTACCACTAAATATTTTAGCTAGATGATCTTGCATTTAAGTGAATATTTCGGGGGTTCAAGGGCTACCTAAATATTTATTTATTTATGATTTAAAATTTTTTTACACTTTTAGTGTGCACATGAGTAATATAACTTACATTTTTTTTTTAAATGGAAATACTAATTTTTTTACGTATTCGGGCGGATTATTTTTTTTAATGTTTTTTGTATAAAAAGTTTTTTTCTATTTAAAATTTAAATTTAAACATAATTCGTGTAACGTTGTTAACGAAATTTTCATTTAAAACCACTAGAAATAAAAAAAAAGTAAATGTTTAATTTACTTTATCTGTTTACAAATAATAATTTAGTATTAGTAATATCATACGTCATTCGGATGAATATCTGGAATATGTATTGTGATAATTTTTATTCAATTCATAATCAATTGACTGCTATATTACGATTACAATTTTGACTATTTTAAAGTGGAATTTTATTTTACTTTTCATCAGTATTGTAATAGCGATAAAGTAATCAGATAATGTAACTATTAAAAAATAATAAAATAAATCTTAAGTAATTAAACTTTATTTTTAGTGTACAATATTAATTTATTTTTTATTTCGTTAATTGTAATAATACAATTTTCTATAATAAAATAGTTATAATGTTATAAATTACTAATAATAATATATTAGTATAATATTAATATTACAATACAAAATAAAGTGTATTTAATGAATTTCTCTCATAAATTGTTCAAAATTTTCACCATAATATGATTCAAATTGCCTCAAAATTCAGTCGTAATTGCCATCTTAATCAACGCAGTCAACTAAATAAAAATTATCACATACTTAAGATATTCATTCAAACGACGTACGATATTATTAAATTATTATTTATAAATATGTAAGGTAAATTAAACATTTATTTTATTATTTCCAGTGGTCTTAAATGAAAATTTCATTTAACACGAATTATGCATAAACGCCATAAACTCAAATGTTGACTTCTTTAACTTGGTAAGTTTTATAAATAGAAAAAAAACGTTTATACAAAAAACTTTAATAAAAATAATCTATCTAATATGTAAAAAAAAAAAAAAAATAGTATTTCTATTTAAAAAAAATGTAAGTTGTATTGCACATGCGCATACTAAAAGTGTAAAAAATTTAAAAATCATAAATAAATGTGTATTTAAGTACCTAGGTCCTCTGAAATATTCACTGCAATACTGCAAGGTCATCTAGCTGAGATATTTAATGGTACTTAAATCGTGATTACACGTATACATTTTTGCAAAATTTCTGTTAACTGTCTATTCAATTATCCAATAAGGCTCCGGTATTATGACTGACGATTAATCGAGTTTCTACTGTAATAACATATGCTTATAAATTATAATATATATAGTACTAAATTTTGAATTGGGAGGACTTTACAAAAAATTGTGGTGACTAAATCCCTCTCCTATTTACGCCAATGTATTTATATGTTATTGTTATATATAGCCTATAGCTTATGCTTATTGCTTATAGTATATAATATATTATATTAAATGTTTTTAAAAATTACTTTTAATTGTTATTTATCACATAGCTCACATATATTATAAATAATAGTACAATACATATTGTATTTACATTTGTTGACTGTAAATAAAAAATGTATTAATAATGTTATTATGATTCATATTAATACAATTTACATTTAGTTATGCTGGACGCATGGAAAAAAATTATTGGTTGTTAATATATGTGTGATTAGTTCAATGGAATTTTTAAGTTGTGCCCTTGATCATAAAACTGTCAAAACTACCTATACCTATGTAAAGGGCAAAGGCTACTATAAGTACCTACTAGTTATATTGTGTTATATATACTTAGTTCCTGTTCATAAACCTGTTGTAATTTGAATAGTTTGATAAAACATCGTCGTGACGATGTAAGCGAGTTAAATAATATAAAACAAGTCATTAAATTTCAATTCATCGGAAAGTTATTAAAATTGAATTATATATCATTAATATTTTTTTGATATTCATTATTTTAACGCTACAGCGTTTATAATTATGTTTAAAATATAATAGCTACTGCCTATTAAAACACTCTATACTTTTTGTAGTTTATTCTTCATTATTATTATTATTGATTTATGATAATATAGATAATTATTAATTATATGTGCGTATATTATAATAATATGTAATAATATGTAGGTTTGAATATTTTAAAGTGGTTTCAATTTGTATACTGTGAAATTGTTTATCATTGCTTCAGTAATTACTAATTTTTATGTTTTTACTATTTTATACCACAACTTATATATTTTTATTATAAGATATAAACTATCAATTATACAGACAACAAACAGTACGGGACAAAAAAAAAATTAAATTACAGTTATACATTTACAAATGTTTTTCTTATTATAATAGGTAAGAACAGTCAGATGATTGAATAATTGTTATAAATATTTTATATAATTTATTATGTGTTACGACTTTGATCTGAGTATTGTGTACCTATTTGTTGGGAGCACCGCAGTTCAAAATAATCTGCAGCTGAACTAACCACAGGACGTCGTTACAACTATACTCCACTGCAGGACCTTTTGACTATTATAGTCAAACTCGTCGTTGTTACTATTTGCTCTTTTTCTTTCTTTTTGCTAGTTGCTTACGATTTCATTACACTAGATTTGAAAACGTATAAACAGGTGTGGATCCTGAGTATTTGTTAAGGGGAGAAGCCTCTTATATTATGATTTATGAACGTCATGTTATATAATTATACCATAATAGGACTGTTGAAATATGTGGTTCGTTGTATATTTATTTACACTGAAAATGAATAATGTAATGCTCTAACAATATAAAATAATAGAAACTATTCGCAAATTCAAAAAAAAAAAAAAAAATAACAAACACTCTATTTAAGTTACAAATTTTAAAATACAAAAGTAGGTACCTACTTATATAAACATATAGGCCCCAAGATTATAAAGCAGAATCTAATTTTATTTTTATTTTTTAAAATCTGTCAGCTGTCAATAATTTTATTAACATTAACCAAGAGTTCATGTTTTGAGTGTTCCTATAATTTGGAACAAATAACAATGTATATTCATTGTAAATATTGTATAATACATAAAAACAATAGTAAAAACTCGATTATACAATTTTTATTATTGTTTGAAGTGAATGTAATAATAATATATAACTATTAATTTTTTTGGGATATTTAGAGAAATTTAGTGGGGGTTACCGCTTCCATACCCTCTTGTATCCGCGCCTGCGTATACATGTATAATTTAGGAAAACATTATAATTATACTCTTTTATGTAGTAAAATAATAGTTTTCAACTCGTGAAAAAATTATCATCTCTTCCAACATAAAATATGACTGTTGAGTTCAGACGATGACGGTGGTGAGGAGAACCAGACGTCATTGAAGACTAAAGTTAGAGGACAAATATATTCGGACCCTAAACACTGTTGCAATTTTTCCAAGGAAGCTGAATAAGAAAATTGACGAAATACACTTCGTTCTGTTTCCAATGGTTCATCATAATGTTCTTATTTCGTAATACAGAGACTGCGATGTGCCTAGTGCTAGTAAATGTGAAAAAATCTACAAATAATTTATTCGTTTCAAAAATCTTAGAAAAATAATATTGTCGGTGGTCGCACTATCGGAAAATAAATAGCAGTGTTGCTATAAAAAATTGGCGAATTCGGTTGCATGCAATATAATATGATTTTTCAAAAATGCAAAACGGTGAACGAAAATGGAGAAAATGAAATTCAGTTATACTGTTCCACCCTTCTTTTATCGTTGCTATAGACATTAGTTTGCGAGTGGGGAGGTTATTGACCTGTGACCGTTGTTTTAACAGGGTTGAAGGGTTTTTGCGCGGGGTGTCACCACAAGTTTGTTGACCTTAACCCTCTTATCACAAATTTACACCGCTGATAACAGTCGTCGAGTATATCGATATATTATGATAATATTCTTTCGTGGAGTACACGTACCGTCGATTATCATTGTTGTGTTATATAGTCTGTTTTCTTGCGGTAATCGCACTAGAATTTTTCGCGTGTTCGTGTTACGAGCTTATGACTTACGTCTAACGAGCGATAGTGTTGTATTTAGTTTAACGTCTAAACGCGCGCTCGATGCGTTCTTGTGCCGTTGCAATAGCCCGAACTGCATCTTTGCAGTTCTGTAAAGTAACGTTCTTCAATAACTATCGTTTTCAGATATAAATTAATAACTATAGTAATTATTATTATTGTTTAATTTGATAATCGTTGTTATCGTGTGTACCTTACTGAATAATATGTATTGTTTTTTTTTTCTAGCCATAACATTTATTTTGAATTAAAATTCACACGAATATGAAGTCTTCATTACCGTAAACATTTTTTTCTTGTTGGTATAGAAAATCAAAAAAATATATAATTTTCTACTTGTATTTACGTTTATTTAAAAATTTAAACAAAAATGAAGCCACTAAATTACCATGGAAGTGAAATTTTTTTATCACTCTCTGAAAATATTGGGCTATCTGTAGATTTGGTAAATATATTTTTAATATTCTATAGTTATTAGTTAATATACACAATATATTTTATCATAATAGATTATTTGATTATGACTTTTTATGAAAAAATGTGTACTTTACAAATATACTTATTTTTTATTTAAAAATTTGGTATTCAATCAATTGTTTTTAAACTTTTTAACTTAACTAGTTTTAAACTTATAATTTAATATACTTAGTGTATTTGTATTTCATCATTTTATACCTAATGAGTTAGTTAGTTCTATATTTTAAATTAAGTTTTTTTTGTAGTTATATTAAATAACATTTTTTATTATAATTTAAGAAATTAAAAAAAAAAAACAATCACTCTTTATGCGAATCATATTATATTAATTTATTAAAAATATAGAAACTATTTTTTAACTAAATTAATATATTTTTTCATATTAATATTTAATCTAGCAAGTTAAATTTATTATTTGTTAACTATTAACTTCTATTGAAAAAATAGTAGTGTTTGTTAGAGATTTGATTAAATTGTTAATACAATTTTTGCAGATATATTATATTATCTCAAACAAATTTTATAATACGTAATACTAATACAGAGTCAATAAAATGAAAACTCATTTTCGAGAAGAATGTGGTGGAGATACATACATTCCTTTATCATATTTTAATTGTATCAAGTTCTCCTATAAATTGTAATATCTCATTTAATCTTCAACTTTTGCTAATCCTGGCCATAGTCACTGTTGTAATTATAACTTAAATATAATTGTGAAAGGGGGGTGCTAAAATTATTATAGTGCACACAAACCCTTAACCATAAATATGCATAAATGTAACTATGATTATTAGTATATTAATTAAACAAAATTTAATTACATTTTTAATATGTAGGTATTGTCTAATAATGATTTGTATTAGAAGTTTTACTTTTTATATGTTTGAATTGATCACATATTTATTTAGTTCAAACAACTTCATTTTATTAGACCTTTTATTTTATGGTTTTAATAATTATAGCTAGCATAAAATATATAATAACTATGATAGTAGCATAATTTAAATAAAAATATGTATGACAGTTAATTTAATGTATTATTATTTAGTAATACCTACCAAGTACCTACAATAAATTAATAAGACCTTGATAAGTATTTCTTCATAATTACATGTAAATTAAAAAAATTATTCATAGTTTTTATGAAAGAAATTCCATATAATATACTATATTATTAATGTTTACATATACTAAGTAATTCTTTTATCAAGCAACACTCATTATTTCAAAATCTATTACATTTTTGAAAAAAATGATAACATTTTTAAATTTTTTACTTTTATGAATGACAACATATACTTTTAATATCATATTCTGAAGCAGAATTTTTTTTTTTTTTGATTATTTTAATATATAAAAATTGAAATTAGGGCAATTAAGTAACAAATAAGTTATAACTTTTACAAGTATTTTGAGTATAGGTTGTGATTACATGTGTAATGAACTACATGGATATCCGTGTTTTGCTTTTGACGGGATTAAAGCCGGTGTAATAAAAATATCCATAAATCTTAATACCTGTTTTTTTAATACCCATTTATTTAAATACAGAGTTTGAATATTCATATATTTAAATAAAATTGTATTTAGTAAACAATAACTAATTATTGGAATGTACATAACATAATATTGTTATAAATATTTATATTTAAAGTATATCTGAATTCTGAATTAGTGTACAATATATATGGGTGTGCACAAATATGAAATACACAGATAAATATGGGTTTTAATATATTTTTTGCTTGCATACCAGACTCTGTGTAATCATGTATTTTAATATCTATTCAAAACCATGACACCTAAGTTATAGTGTAGGTGAGCAGAGTAGTAGATCAACACTTTGCTGGATTTCCCAGTTTCTTTCCACTTCTGCTTAGTATGCATTTAGCAGTTAGTATCTCTTAACTCGTACCGATAAATTTACTTTATAGTTTTAGTAAATATATTTCTAGTACACTAGTTCCATTATATAATAAAATTAATTTCATTTTAAATACTTATTTTTTTTTCTAAAACATTTGAGTTTAAACAGATTATAACATTATGCTAATCTTTATACTTCATCAAAAAGCAAATATTTGCTGATAAGAATTTTTAAAACAATAAAAACTCTAATGCATTAGAAATTAAACAGTATATTAATTTGCAAATTATTATTTTAAATTTTAATGCAACAATTAGTGTTATTTTAAAATCTGTATAAATATAATTCTATTTACTCAAAAATTATTAAAAACTGTTAGAGTGTATGTTGAAAACAGTGCGTAGATTTCTATAGATTTCACATTTTTTATTAAAATTGGTAGTAAATGAATACAATTTTTTAATTATTTTAAAAATTATTCTATTTATACACTTAATTTAAAACTATTCTAAAGAGGCACTTATTACTGCCCCAAAACATTTATGAAAACAAAAATATAGTCATTATTTGATGAAAATATTAGATGAGTGGAAGATGGCAGAGTTCCTCAAACTCTTGTTTTTCTATTCACTTATAAACTATAAGTACTATTAATTATGATTACTTAGGTAAAAAAAAAATCCATTGAATATTTGTTTTTGTATTAACAATTGTTAATTTATATTATATTAGCTGTTGTCTGTCGTGGCTTTGCCTGCAAAATTTTAATAGGTATGTATACTAAAAAATAATAATTTATGACAACAATTTTATTATTAAAATTCTCTATAAACTACACTTGATGTATTTCCATTAGTTGCCAAAAATACTAAACTTGTGGGCAAACTGATTCTGGAGCATGCCACATAAAGTTATCTATATGAAAAAGAGCTTAAAAATGTGAGCTAAAGGCTCATGGCTTATAAGGACTTTTTCATCAATGTATAAAGATATATAATTTACAAGTACAATTTTATTTTTAACCAATTTTAACCTCTTAAAATCAACATTTTGAAAAATCCTTTCTTAGTGCTCGGTAAAATTAAAATATTAATCTACTTTAAAAATTTCAAATTGATCGATTTAATAGGTCTGGATCTACGTTGATTATGAATCAGTCATTAAGGACAGTATTCATTTATACAGATTTATGAGAGTTATGTCTTATCTTCGTCTAGAATTAAATAAAATACCTCTATGAATTATTATAACTTTATTATAATAATTGATCATAAACACTTTTTTGTATAACTATTCAGTCAAATAAAATATTTTTAAATTTGTTAACAATAATCAAGTAAAGTATTTTACTTTCTTTGACTACACTATATAGTATGGTAAGTTAAATACTATTAAATATTGTAAACAAGATTATATAAAGAGTTTAAGTACATAAGTCATAAAATTGGTTTGTGTGACCTGATTCAATTAATAAATAATTTATTTAATATAAGTTGATATACGTGTGTAAAATAAGATAGTATGATGTATATATAAATATATTTTGTACAATGTACATAGTATTTATATGCTATTTAGAAGTTTGTTTATAATTTACATATTGTATATAAAATTTGATTAGATACTAGAAAAGGGTTCTTCAATTATATTAGTGCCAAAATCTGGTAAACCTAAAAATATTACTATATCTTATCTTTTAATCACAAAAAAGTGTTCTATAATCCATCCTCTCTACTTCCTTACCAACAGCATTTTTGTCATTCTTTGAACAAAAAAAAAAATTGCTTAAATATTTTTCTTGATTGTCGCTCAAGTGTTTGACAAGGTTTAGTATTATTTTTTACTTTATAATATATATTTCATTAATTAAGGTATACATATTTACTCAATCCTGAAGTTAAAATGAAATTGGATTCTGATTATTATATTTTTCCTAACTTTTTAAAGATTTGATTTTTTATTTCTTATTATTTTGAAAAAAAATTATAAACAGCGAAGAACAAATTATAAAAATTTGTATTTATTTTTTCATAATTTTATTAAATTTAGTTAAACCTAATTAGTATTGAAAAAGCAGTTATTTTTAGTTGCGTAATATAAAAAAAAAAAACAATTAGTTTTGTATTGTATTCTAATACTTTGATTTATTAATGTATATACAAATTAAAAACTTGATTAGTAAAAGTTTAAATTTGTACAAAATTATACTAACTTGCTTTCTTTGTATTTTTATATTCTGAATGAAGCAAAATTTTATTTTCAGGTGAATTTTGTAATTTGTCAACTTATAGCACTATGTATAGCACCATTAATGTATACATTTTTGCCACCAAAAAATCAACAATATGTATTTCTTCGACAAATATTTGGACTTATTATTGGATTGACCATGACTTACATCTGTTTTGGATAGTAATATATTTTTTTTTATAATAACATTAACTGCATTTAATTTATATTATATTACAATTTAACGTATTAAACAATAATTCAATAAAACTGTTACCTATGTTATTTCTTTTATCTCTTTAAAATAGTATTGGGATATAAATGGATGTTATACTCTCAGTCGATATAAACATTTTACAAATATATAATTATTAATTATAAAAAATTATAAATACTATTTATAATTAATGATACAAAATAATAAATTTGTATTAATCATAATCAATTTAGCATTTTTATCTTTGATATTAAAGTAGATGATTTATTAATAAATTTATAGATAATAAGGTTATTTGTACTTGTATTTTATGATATTTATATTTTTAGCTAATTATGAGCATTTTAAAATTGTAGTATTTTGTATAGTATCTCATAATTTGCTTAAAAATTGCACATACATATTATACACAATATAGCGTTTACTTTTGAGTTCACTGATACTGATTAAGTATAAGTTAGTTCAACTTCTATTAATTTCTCGTTAGTTTAAATAATTTAATATGTTTTATTTCTCACCTTTTAGTTGTTATATATTTATAAACATTTTGAAATGAACTAAATTAAGATAACTATCTAAAATTATTAAACATCAATAAAAATTTAAAGTCTAGTGCTTAAAAAAAGAAAAAATATTATCTCATTTGTATATATTTTAAATATGTAATAGGTATAATTTGTTAAATATTTTCTCTTGACTTTTATTTATTATAGTTTTTTATCCTTTTTTTTTTTCAGTCAAATGTTACATCTTATTGTTCTACCAACAATCTGTTATGTTACCTTAAAAACATTAAGTCCAAATACGATACATAAGTAATTATAATAAAAATAATTGTTATTTATGTTTTGTATTAATTTTATAATATACTAATTTAGTTTTTTCTTTGTAGAGCCGTTTTACTTGTATGTTGTTTGTATTTATCATTACTGCATATTTATCGTCAAGTTTATGAATATGGATCTTATACCTTGGATATTACTGGTAAATTATATAAAAAATATTACAAATTTAAAATATTAATTTTTTTTAGTTTAATTAGGATATGTGATAAAATGAAATGATGAAAATGAATTAGGTTGACGATTATTTCAATAAACCTTTGTTGTTTTTATTTTCAGGTCCAGTAATGGTAATGGTACAAAAGTTATCAGCATTAGCATGTGGTTTACACGATGGTCTAATGGCTGATAAAAAACAGTTAACGGATATTCAAAAACGTTATAAGATTAGGTAAAATATTTTGTATATTATTTTTTGTGTAATTTATTTAATTATTGTGTACAAAATGTTTTCTTTTAGAAAAGCACCTACACTTATTCAATACATAAGTTATTTATTAACATTTCAAACAATTTTAGCTGGACCTAATGCTTTTTTTGAAGATTATATAGCCTATTTAGATGGTACTAATTTTCCAAAAAAATTACCAAAAGAGGTAATTATTAATTTATTTATCTTACTAATTTTTATTTTTATTTTAAAAACTTTTTTTTGTTTAGGCTAAATCATCTCCGTCTCCTTTAAAGCCTGTACTGAAAAAAGTATTAATTACATTTATATGTGCTTTTGTAATTTACTTTATTGTACCAATGTACCCATCTTCAACATTGCTAGGTTTGTAACTATTTACATTTTTCAATATTTATTAATTCTCCCCCCCTTTTTTTTACTTGGTTTAATTTATGGTTGTTAAAGATCGGAAGTTATTGCATTGTAAAATGTATAAAATTAATTGTGATATCACTAAAAAAAAATTACAAAATTGCACCACATTTTTTGTTTTACTATAATTTAAAAGAAAAATACTTGTAATTGATTCTTTCATTTTTATTTAAAAAAAAATATAGTCTTATTAGGTACTGTTAATTTTTATAATTTTTATATTAGGTTTTGAGTAAATCACTATTATGTGTGTGTTAAATTTGAAATTTGAATTTAACAGTATTTCATTGTATATGAAAAACGATTCTGAGCGCTATTGGTCTGTCATCCTATATCTCTAAGATTATTTTCATATTTTTTTTTTTGATATAGCTATTAGTTATTTATTTTAATTTTAGTATTACAGGACAAAAGTAAATTTATAGTAAAAATAAATAATACTTTAAAATTAATTAAAACTCATTACTGTTATGTTCAGACTCGTTGATTTATGCATTAACCCAAAATTGAAAATATGATGTATTAAGTGTAGACATTTTTTTATTTAATGTTAACTTTGAATAAAAAAATATAATATGTAAGTTATAAGATGGTGAGAGGTGTTTTTAAATTACACTAAAATAATTAGCATAATTATTTATCATTTAAATAAGTAATTTCGTCTAATTTTAAACTTAAAATGTCTATAAAAAATAATTGTCTTTTTATATTTTTTAAATTTATGGTTTCAACATAAACTAATAAAAAATGTTATACTAATTTTTTTAAACTGAGATATAAAAAGAAATTTTTTCATACATTTTTAATTACATAATAGTTTGCAATTTTTACGAAATTCATCAAAATTATAATTTAAAATGTATATTAAATAATTATATTTTATGTATTTTTAATATTTTTATAGAGATATAGTTACAATTTATGTAGGATTCTGAATTAACTTTTTAAGAATTTTGAAAATTCTAATTTAAAAATTAAAACAGGTTTGTAGCTTAGCAAAAAAATTAACTGACAGAAAAAATGCAGAAAATGCAATAACTTCCTAGTCCTAAAATTAATATTAAATTTATAAATTATATATGGTTCTTGTTTTAAAATTTCAAAATATTGTAAAAGAATTACATTATGTTTGGTTTTACAGATGAAAAATTTTTATATGAATCTCCGATTTACTCAAAAATTTGGTTCATTATAGTCATAACATCTTTAACTCGTTTTAAGTATTATTTTGCTTGGACCTTAGCTGATGCAGTTTGTAATGCTTCTGGTTTTGGATTTTCTGGTTATAACGAGAAAGGCGAACAGGAATGGAATTTACTCGATAATATCGATATCTTAGGAGTTGAAGTATGTGCTATTATTTATTTAAATCAAAATTACAAATTGTTTTAAATTATACATTAGATTGTTCTCATGTTGTTAATTTTTTATAAAATTTATTAAAATCTGTCAACATTTTGTTTAGTTTGGTGTAAACTTTAGAGCTACTATTGATGCATGGAACAAAGGCACAAATCTGTGGCTTCGTTATGTTATGTATGAAAGGGCGTCTCCTAAATATAACACAGTTATGACATACACTTTGTCTGCATTTTGGCATGGTTTTTACCCTGGTTATTATGTGACCTTCCTTACAGGATCATTGTTTACAAACAGCGCAAGAATTGTAATTATATTAAAACCAAATGCTCATATTAACTGCTAAATAAATATGTGTTTAATGTTTATATTATGTTATATAGGTTCGAAGATGTTTGTGGCATAGATTCCAGCAACCCAAACCTGTGAAATTAGCTTACGATTTTGTAACTTGTTTTTTAACAAGACTTTGTTTGTCCTACATGACATTTTCTTTCATACTCTTAGAACTTATGCCTTCATTGCGTGTCTTTTGGTAAGAAATATACACACACATATATATATTATGGTATTTATTGAGTAATTGTCAGTGTAATTTTGTTTTATTATCATAAATTACTTTAAATTTACTTTGAGAAATATTGACAGTATTTTAACTTTATCAGTTAGTCAAATTTAATTTTTCTTATTGTGTTTTATATTCTTCTTAAATTTAACTTGAATAATTTTATCAGTTTTAACAGATCAAATATGTTTTCACTTTTATTGTTTAAAATAAAATAATTATAAATCATTTGATGTTTTAAATTATTATAGATTTTGTTTTTTTGTTTTGTTACAGGCATCTCAAGTTTTATCTGCATATATTAGCTCTGCTGGGCATGTATGTACTGCCATTAGTTATCTCGCCGCTCAAAACAGTCAAGAAAAAATCACAATAATTTAATGTAAGCAATTATAGTTAGCAACTATAATTTTTATGAATTCGATCAATAAAAGACTGTATGCATGGTAAATCAAAATATATTATTTATGAAGTTGAATTAATTTAAAATTACATTGAAAAAAAAAATAATAAACTGATTATATCACAAGAGTTTATTAGCAAATTAAGGATAGTAAATCTTTTAATATGTTTTTAACATAGATAATAATTATATTCTATGCATAACATCAAAGGTCATATTAGATGAGTGGGAGTAAAACAATGCTTTGAACTCATCTGAATAAATGTTTGATTAATGTTAAAATAAATTTAAAAATCATGAGATCTGGCATTATCTAAACACAATTACAATATTAATATGTCTAAGAGAATAAGTCTTTGATTAAATTAGTATATACCAATGAGATTATAAGTGATTTGCTCATCATTTTTATTAGTCTACTAAAAACATAGTTACTAAATTTTAGTAACTATTTCATTAGTCTACTAAATTACAAATCTTTGTAGTATAAAATAATATTTAGTAATGGTATTTGTATTTGATAACTGTTAATTTGTTAATTAATTATCATTTGTCTATGATTCAAATTAATAAATGTATAGAAAAAAAAGAAAATCAACAGTTATTTGTTTTTTTAACATTAATTTAATAGCATAATTATGACATGAACTTTGTATCGCATTTTTATAACATAACTTTTTTTTTTCAATAAATTGTAGAGTTGTGCCATTTGATTAAGTGTAAAGAATTATAAATATGTTTTAATGTTTCAGAAAACTTTCTTTATGTTAGGTTATATGTAATATTAAAAAATTAATATAAGATGTAAAAACAAATAAGTACATTTTATTTGATAGAAATTTTATACATTTTCATTAGGTTTAATATTGGACTTGTGATTGTTGCATTCTATTTCTGAATTTTCATACAAAAATTGGTGTTGAAATTTTAAAGCCTCAAGTCCATAACTAGTCCAATTGGGTAATAGATACCTTGCAAATAGTTCTAAACATTTTGGTGTTGGAGGCAGATAAGGAACTAATATTTCTAAAATAAAAATAAAATAATTATCAGAGTTAAATAAGACAGTAATGTTATTTAGGGAATATAATATGATAATGTAGTTCTTCCTTGTAAGGTGATTAAAAAAAAGATGAGATGATGCAATATAGTAGTAAAAAAAAATCTAAAGAAAAACAATGTATTTCTGTACAAGGGAGCAGTGCTGGATAGAGACAGGTGGAAGAGCCAACGGTGAACCTAAATGGACAGTTAAAAGCCAAGTAGGAGAAAATGTTATTACTTAATACTAAGTAATAATAATAAAAATATTGTTTAAATTATATACCAGATAGAGGGGGTTTATGTGAATGCACTGAACTTGGAACACTTGCAATCAATTTATTTTCTTCAGGATTTTTTATTTCAGTATCACTATCTATTTTTCTTCCAAATATAATGCGTTCGTATGGTTGTTTGCCAGTTTGTGGAGCAAAATTACAAATAAATTCTCCACATTTTGTTACCTATAGAATACATCAAAATTTATAAATATCATTGGTTATTGATTTTACATAGTACAAATAATTGTTACATGCATGCGTTTTCTAAGGAATACTAAAAAGGGGTAAATCTAAAATCTGTTTATTTTGTATAAAATTATTAAAATTACTTATTATAACTAAAGTATCAAAATGTGATACCTTTATCCAATACCAAGAGGCTACATATTTTATATTCCATGTTGGAAATAATACAGTCTTTAATGAGTTTATATGGTTTTGAGAATTTGTACACCAAACACAAACCAAACCGTTTGAATTTAGGAATTCGTTTATAGGTAACTGAACCAAATCCTGATCAATCATCATTGTATATCTAAAAACATAACATAAATTTAATAGATTTAATGTGAACAGTTCATTTCAATTAATTTAGTACCCTTCATCTTGTTTAATTTTCTTCTTTCTTTGTATATATTTATTTGTCCATGGTGGGTCTAACAAAATCAAGTCATATTTTTCATCTTTAAGGTTTTTCATGTTGAAAACATTATCACAATAAAACTGACATTTTGGAGGAAATACGTAGCCATTAGCTACATGTAAATTTGGATTTGGATTTTGTCCATAAAATGTTTTTTGCTCACTAGTTTTTTCATAAAACTTTATAGATGCATGTCTAGCACAACTATTATTATCTAAAATCTTTGGCAATGAAGAAAATATATCTTGATGGTTTTTTAAATTTGATATAAAAGTTTTAATTCTTTTACCTATTTCGTCTTCCTAAAAATTATTTAAAATTAACAATTTTTAGGGGATAAATAAAATATGTTCATTAAAATACTTAAACTATGCAAGAGTGGTACTTGCGTTAAATTTACTTATATTAAATAATTATTAACTACCTCATATTTTGGCCGCTTTCTCTTACGTTTAACATTATTTTCCGAATTAGTTTCAATTTGTTGTTTATCTCTGACGAATGGATTGTTTATATGAAAGAAATGTTCGTACAAATGTACAGCGTTTTCGGTCTTACTCAAAATCGTATCGTATAACTTTGAAATAAACATTTGATGCGATATGAAGAAACCATCGACGTCGCTGTATAAAATGCTCATTGTTCAAGTTAAGAGTATAAGTTAAAAATTAAAATTTTAATGGAAAAAGTTTGGAATTAGAGATGAGTTTTAAACGTTTGCAAGTAATTAGGATATTCGCTTATTCGCATTGTTTTCAAGTTTTCAACAGACTACATTTTTGAACATCATGACTTTTGAGTTATGAAAATAAAAATATTATTCATCTTAGATAAAGCCGGGAGTTTTATTCGGTGATATCTCATCTCATCTTATTATGGACATAGATAATATAATCTATAATCTTATATTATCTATGATTATGGAGCAATAATTTATTATCTATATTTGTGTCATGGAATAAAAAGTTACTACGAAAAATCATTTTTATCACTATATACTAATTAGTAATACTGTTGATCCTGAATTCCAGTTCAGGGCGTCATAACACTCATAACTCATAATACTCGTTGTTGTTGTTATTTGTCCAGTAAGTTAAATTATTGTTTACTCGATATTATTTTATTAATTTAAATTCTAAAGTACCGCGGTTACTCATTCACTGAACTAACGTAGCAAGGCATTTATGAATAATTAGACAAATGCCTCAAACAGGAAACCAGATTTTCAAAAATTAATTGAACAGGTGAGATCGTCGTTTGTTGGTCGCTCATTTTTTTCGTTTTTCGATTAATTGAAAATTTTTTGTTTCCTGTGCAGAATGTCAGTGGTTCTAGATGACAAGACGGAGTTTATGACAAACCCTTTTTTTAAACCATCCGAGCCGAGCAATTATCAAACTTTTTACGTGACTCTTGGTGTGTGCACAGTTTTTGCATTTGCACTGCTCATTGTCAACTTGTTTCTGTGTTGTTTTTCTAAACACAGACATTATTGGAGAAATAGCGAAACAGGTGAGTAGATGCTTGGTCATTGTGTTCACATTAGATATGTTTTTATAATTGATACATATTTGCTTATATGTGCAGGTAATCGTTACATACTACCAATTTGGATCAAGACACCTGCAAAACAAGCTCCTCTTGATCTGAGAGAGTTAGAAACAAACTTTTCAAAACCAAAACCTGTTTATGACTCTGGTGTGCCTCAAGAATTTGTTGAGCTCCATAAGAAAGAGAGTGACATTTAAACTACACTATGATTCACGTATTTTCACCTTTGTTGTTGTTGTTGGCCATGTTTGTACTATTTGTAATCATTGCTATGGTAAGATATGGGGGGCGTTTCTGTTCGGTACACAGGGAATCAGTAAATTACAATAATTATAATGACGAATATGTAGAACAAGTATCTTACGCTTAAATTAATTTGAATTCTTAAGCCACTGCAGCCTCAAAAAAACATGGGTTAGTTTTATTAAATTTTAGCAGTTAATTAGACATACTATTATTACAAAATGTCTTATATATAATTTAATCACTTTATAACAAGACATTAGTTACTTTAAAAACATTGAATTAATAATGAGATGTTAAATTTAAAAAAAAAAAAATGGAATTTCTCTTTTTTAATTCGTTAGTTATCATTTATTAGTAAAACAAACATTTTTTATGGACCAATAATTGATAAAAATATATTTAATTATGTAAGTAAAATGCACTCAACAATTCTATACATCTAAATAAACTAATTTTATTCATTTTAATTAGGTATCATATGAATGGAAAATATTTGTATGAAATTAAAAGAATTCATTATTTTTTAAGTAATTATTCAGGAATAAGTTTTAAAATTTGAGTTGTTTTGATCAGTATTGTCTTTAATTTAACCTTAATTTTATTTATCATTGTAGCTCATTAGTTTATTAGTATTTTAATTTCTGGATAGCTAAGTTTATAGCTAGACTTCAATACATTTTTAGTTAAAAATAAAAAATATATTCATCTATAACTATTTTAAAATAAATTAGGAAAAAAAATTTAAAGTATAAATATATTTTTTTAATACTCTTTTTAAGTTATGAACCATGTTTGACAGTGATTAATTTTTTGTTAAATGGCAATTAAGTATAATTGTTCGTCACCTCTATCAAGTCAACTGTGGTTTTATGAAGCCATGCATATGAACACAATTTGGCTGTCTAGTATGGTTCTTAACTTAAAGTGGGCATTGTTTAATACTACATAATATACTAACACTTCCGTCCATGTTGTGATCATATATAGTTATAAGTTATTTTATGACTTTTGGACGATTGTAAAATAACATTTACATAATGGTATTATAAATTAAGGCTTTTTATGTTCATATTATGTCTTAAATAATTTTTTGAATAATATTTTTATTTGACCAAATAAAATTAAATTAAAAATTAATTGTATATAAAAACACAACATTCATAATTGTAGACATGTGTGGTTTTATATACATAAATATTGTTTCTAAGGGAGTTTTTGAATCTCAACAGTCGTCCAATGTGTTAAAATATTTGTAATAATTGTATTCAATTATTAAGTATTATTTTTTACGATTTATATTTTATAATAAACCTTTTTAAACAAAATTAATAATTTGTTGTTATTATTTATTAAGAGTTATCAACAACCTGCAGCATCTAAAAATGTTGAGTATAATATAATAACATATTTTTACAACAATTGCAAAAATAATTAAACTATTTTTATTCTAATTATTCAAATGATTACAATTTAATGAATTTAATTTTAAATTCAAAGATGAATTTGTTCGTAATTTTCGAATTCTAAACTTCATAGTTCATATGAATATTGTGTCAATAAAAATAAATTCAAAAGCATAATATAGTAATAGATATTTTACCAACTACAAAGATGCCTCAGGTGATATTTTAAATTATATGTAACGAGTTCAAAAAAATATATTTTATACAAGTACGTTTAATATGTTTTAATTTTAGCAGGGAAAATATGTTTGGTGCATGCAATATGTGATATCGTGGCATGTATGGAATAATAATTTATGAATATCATAATCCTAGGGTATGGATTTGGAAGTGATACGTTTGTAAACGATGATCAACGTCCGTTTGAAGTGGATTAAAAAAAAAAAATAATTAAAATATCAATTAAATAATCCGTTTACACGATTATTAATACAATAAAAAAAAAAAAAATTCTCCGAACAAACAAAGGCTTGACAAGGGTTTTTCGATTGGACTATATTATAATATAATATTTAATGACGACGACTTGTTCGGCTTTTTGGGTTGCCTTTGGATTTAATAACGAAAACACCAAAAACGGTTTTGTAATAATAACTAACTGTAGGTAAATATTATGTTTATAAGCGAGGCGGTAATATCAATTAAACGCGTCCTAATTAAATAATAAATTAATTAAAATGGTTAAAAACCCATCATATTATAATATGTCAACGTAAATTATATTGAAAATACACTGTTTACATACAATAATAATAAAAACTGCTGGTGCAATATCCCAATAATCACATTCACTAGATATTATAGATTATAGATATGTGACCTATGGGTTGGCGTGGGCGTCGGTGAATGGAGAATAATGAAGATTGGTCGTACAAGACTGACTACTGTATAATAATAATTTAATTGGTAATAATGTCCTAATCACATAAAATTTTTCATTCAATCGTCTTTCAAGGTGAAGTCTGCGAATTCGATTTTTACAAATGTATTATTCGTGTCTTTTCTATATAGTTTTTTTTACTGGTAGTAGGGCCGGACTAGGTCAAAAATTTCTACCGGGAAAAAAAAAATCGGCCCACTTAGCCATTAAAGAAAATCTATAAAAACAACCTTAAAAATAACATATATTTTCCTATGCAATTATATTATATTATTTTGAGAATTTAAACACTTAAAACTATTATAAAAAATTGAAAAAAATTAAAATTTGGTTAGTACAAAGAAATGTTATAAATTGTATTTAAAATACATAGGTATGTTTAGAATTCAGAACTAGAATACACATTAATACATATTAAGTAATTTGTTAAGGTTCGAGCTCTTTTGCGAATTGTGTCGATTATGCCTTAACCGATAAACCGAAAAAAAAATTCTTACGAGTACAAGCGGCCCACTGGGAAACTTCCGATATATCCCTCCGGCCGTGACTGTTGGGTCTGAGGTTCAACTGTTTGCGACCAAAAATGTTTCGGCCGTTACGCCACATTTGTCTGAATACTTTAAAAAAACAACCTCTAGTGACTTGACTCGATGTCTGAAATAGGTAAATTTACATAATTTATTTTAATTTTAACTAAGGGAATTTCGGCGCACTGTATATTTGTGTTCTTATAACTATGACCCACATGCATTATAGCATATTTGTGTTAGGCATAACTATTTACTATGTCTAGTGTCGTTGGCTTTTAATTTTAATACTACAGACGGTTAATCAGGATATTAGGTATTACTATACTAAGTATTATCAATCTTAATGTTTAAAAGAACATCATAAATAATTTTATCACGATGTAGAGAAGTTATAAATGATTATTTTTATGTATGATACATTTTCTACATTGTGGTTTTTACTTGGACTTTTTTTACTATACTATATCTATCGTGTATTTTATTGTTATCATTAGATAACTTAATTTATACAAAAAATTAAAAATCACACAGAAAGAATTGTTTAAAAAATGAATTTTTATTTAATAAATGATGAGAAATCAATAGATAAAAATAAGTCAAAAGGGAGTGGAGATAAGACACTTTCATCCCCATCAACTTTCCCGCGAGCATGACCCTGATTCAGAGAGAAGATGCATCGATATCCTCTTATAAGATGATACCACACCCACAAGTGTTGACTTCGTATTACAAAAGGTAGGTACAACATTTTACTATAGTAAAATTAAAATATATTGATCCATTGTATAATTTAAAGGTAAGATTATTATTTGGGCATTTAAGATGCGGCTTTTATTGATACTATACATTTATAAAGTAAGTTATGAGTATTTTAATAGGTAGGTACTACATTTTTTGATAATTTTAAAATTATCATGACTTAGTTTTGTGATTAAAACTTATATGTGTAAATTATGTACCTAATATCTAATGGTGTAGAAACATAGCTATAGAAATTTAAAGGAACATGTATTGTGTTAAATTAAACAAAAATTTGCAGTAGGTGTACTTATCTGTTAGTATATATCCATTGCTTTTACATAAGTACTATTTATAACCACATGCCAATATTTAGATTTTAGAACACTAGGTACATAAGCATAAGGTAGAATTCTCAATGGGTTGGGTTTTATTAACTACAAATTACAAGTAATATTTCGACTGCACTTAGGTATGTTGGCGGCACTTACACTAAATTTGAAATTACTAATACGCATCTATATATAGTAGGTGAATTAATTGTTTTCAATATCAAGTTATTAAAATCAATCCATAAATCGTGAAATTTTATATTATGTTTATATAATACATCAATATTATTATCAATGATGTACGTATGTGATATATTAAAATTCAAATTACGAGATCATGATTTGAACTCATTGGTGTACTACTTATCTATGTTTTTATTTTTTTTTTGTTTTGACGTAACCATAGGTTTATTTTACTTGTTATAGTTTACCTAAAGAGAATTGGTTTTGATACTTGAGAGGCTCATAAAATCGATCCCTGAAAATGGTGGTGGCTTTCTCTTTCCTCCGACAACCTTATAAATAGAGTCAATTTCGGTATAGGTACTTACTTAACAATTATTCGTCTACATAGAAATTACGTTAAGTAAACGTTTTCAGATTATTTTATAATAGTCACATGATTAATTGATGCTTGTAAGTATTTCAATGGTTTAAAATGCATTAAGTTTCAAGTCATAAATATTAATTCATCGACGATGAACATCTATATCATATTATAAATTTAAATGATAAGATTGTGTAAAATAAATATAAATACCTATGTAACAATTCCTTTGCTTATTTTCAAAAAAATTATAGATAAGTACTGAATGCCGTCGAGTGACTACATACTGTTGTAATAACTACAATTTTAAATGCTTCGACCGACAGAGAAAACACTTATCAGTTTCAATATTATATTGAGAATAAAAAAATGGACGTTTAATGTACAATATGTACGTTAACAATCGTGTATCGTGCCTACATAAACAAGGTTATTTACTAAACATGCTCACCACCATTTCTTTTTCATTTAAGGAAAATTTTATTTAAATTCTGATTTTCATAATTTCATTTGTACTTAAATACCATATTTTAAAATTATTGAGATTTTTTGTAATATTAAAGAAGTATTTTGTGGCGATAAACACATTTGTTTTTAAAAAAAGAATATTATATATTTATTGGAAAGCTTTTTAGAAAATTTTGATGTAATACCTAAGTCAAAATTTGAAAGAGTAGTTTTTCGATTATTAAAATGTGAAAAATAAAGATAATATTCTTTAAAAATAGTTTTTAAAAGTATAAAATAGTTGTAATAATAATGGATCCAGTATTTATTATAGGTAGGTACTTGGATAATTTT